GGTATCGGTGGGGGATTCACGTGGGGTAGTCAGAGAGAAGAGAATGCAGGCGTGAGATGTACTGAGCACAGTGCATTTTGGGAAGTCAGCTTTCGGGCTTCTAGAAAGAAAAGACCCCTTTGTGAGAAAGTGGCCTCGGTGATGGAAAGATGTTTTCTCTTACCCTCCTTGGGGGTATAGTTTGACCAGATACCATATCTGATTTCTGGAACAGCCCCCAGTGCACAGGCTTTTCTCCATTCTATCAGATGACGGTGCTGACTTCTCTACCCTATGATCTTCATGGTGTCTCCATGACCTTGGTGTGCAAAAAATAAAGCTGCTTATTTCTTCAAAATCAACATAGCTCACAAGACATTCCAACAGACGGCAGAGCACTTAGTTTTTCCAATTCAAGGAAAACTCAGACACTTCTGGATTTTTTTTCCTCTACTTTTTTGAGTAAATGCTATGTCAACAGGGAAGTTAGCTCCTTCTCGTTTCCATTTGTTCCCTCCCTCAGTATCCTAAATTTGTTGGGGGAGGCTCTTGAGGATAGAAAAACCTCTGTTCTTCAACAAACCTCAGCCTTCTCCCAGCTTCTGTGGCCTGGAGCTCAGCTTACCTGTCTCTGGGTTCTTCTCCCCAGAGATTCCCTATCCTCACCTACTAGTCTCCCCCATGGGTAGCTTTGTATTCTGCCAGAAACTTAATCAAAATCCTGTGAAAATTTCTGGAGCTCTTTCTCTGCTCATCTCCCTCATTTCCTCGACTCTTCCCCACAGATCTCACCCACCCAGCCCTTCCTGAACTCCAGTTCTGACTGTGTAGCTCAGGGAAGCTCTGCATTTTACTAAGGCCTCCATCATGCTCTGGCCCAGAAGCTGCTTTGTGCAGAAAGCTGAGATACTGGAGAACTTGTTTCATGTGTTTCTTTGTTTCAGGGAACTCAGTCCTGTGCTCCTTGTTCTCACCGTCTGAAAACAGTTGTTTGTATATTTTTGGTCAGTCATCTACTTATTTATGGAGGATAGGATAGTCTTGTATTAGTTACTTATCAGGGAAAGACGTAGAAATCAAAAATGGACTTTTAAAGAGTTAAGATCAGTAGTTTCCAAACAGTTTTACATTATGGGTGTTGGTTGTTTTCTGTGGTGTTGCGTAATTGTGCCTCTATTCATTTATAAACATAAATTTGCAGTGTCCAACCTTCCAAATTCAAGATAGTGCAAAAAAAAAAAAAAAAAAAAAAAAAAAAAAAAAAAAAAAAACCCGAGAACATAGTGCAAAGATCACCTTTAGTATCGCTTTCCTATGGAGATAAGGCTGGGACTATGGGGAGGGGAAGATGCTTAGTGTGTGACTGTCAGAGAGTGTAGTCCCCAGTACTGTCACACTGGCTACAAGGTATTATCCAGGGTTACCTCCTGGATCACTGTGTATTCATCTTGTGAAAATGATGGGACAATTTTGTTTCATTCATCATGAGCAGATATTTAGAAAACAAATTGTGCAAAAACAATTGTATTTTATTTTATTTTTTTTTCAACGTTTATTTATTTTTGGGACAGAGAGAGACAGAGCATGAACGGGGGAGGGGCAGAGAGAGAGGGAGACACAGAATCGGAAACAGGCTCCAGGCTCTGAGCTGTCAGCCCAGAGCCTGACGCGGGGCTCGAACTCACGGACCGCGAGATCGTGACCTGGCTGAAGTCGGACGCTCAACCGACTGCGCCACCCAGGAGCCCCAACAATTGCATTTTAAATATCCTAGGCCTTAAATCTAGTGGCAACTTTCGTTATGTCACCCTTTTGCCTAATTAATATGCTTTTATTTTCTCTTTGTTGACTATAAAATCTTTGCACAGTTTGGCATAGAGTTCAACCTGAATATGTCATGTTTTCCTGCATCTAAATCTGGACTGTAGACAGATATTTCTTCACTGGGGCGAGGAGGTGGGTAGGGGGTGGGTAGGGGCTCCTTGTGGTTTGGCATTTCTATTTCTTCTGTGTCGCCAGGGTCTGGAAGCATGCTCTTAAGTGTGTGTGCAGAAGACTAGACTCACTGGGGGTGCTCATCTACAGTGCAGTCTTCTGGGTCCTAGTTTTGGTCCAGGAATCTTTATTTAAACAACCACAGGTGATTCTGAGGCAAGTGGTCCAAGATCATATTTTGGGAAAAACAAGATTAGGATTGATTGTCCATTTACTGGGAAAGACCAGTATGTGCAGTTTTTGTTTACTAGTATTTTAAATTTATTTTGAATATGCTCAAATGTTCATTAGCTGCTCTCTCTAGACATTGCACATCAGGATTACAGTTTGTCAAGAGGAGGAAATGATTACCTATTCCCACGGAGTGGGAATTCAGAGGAATCCTAATAATTTGGTACAGGACATATTAAGAAAGGTGTTTTTTTGTTTGTTTGTTTGTTTGTTTGTTTTTTACATTCATCTTCATGGTCTTAAAATACTACATAATGGAATTATGGGGCAAATCAACCAATGCATTTTACTTTTAAATTAGCAGAAAATACCATTTGCCCTTGGCCTGGTTTCTTCCATCTGTGTATAAGAACATCATCAATTTTGTGTCCATTTGCCTTTTTTAATTTCCTTATTACTACTTAAGTTTATTTCATTATGGTTACAGTAAATTGTGATGTATGTTAAGAACGTTAGCTTTAGGGGGCGCCTGAGTGGCTCAGTCGGTTAAGCCTCCGACTTCAGCTCAGGTCATGATTTCATGGTTCGTGAGTTCAAGCCCCACATTGGGCTCTGTGCTGATGGCTCAGAGCCTGGAGCCTGTTTCGGATTCTGTGTCTCCCTCTCCCTCTACCCCTCTCCTGCTCCTGCTCTTTCTTTGTCTCTCAAAAAATAAATAAATGTTAAAAAATAAAAAGAACATTAGCTTTAAAGATAGATACATTATGATGTATGTTAAGAACATTAGCTTTAAAGATAGATAAGTCCTATCCAAATATTAGCCATATAGCTAGTTGCACCCTCTGGGCCTAAGCATTTGCTTTTCTGTGAACTGGAAGTAGAAATACCCACTGCATGAAGTTGCAAAGCTTAGCAATGATGTATTGCAAAGAAAGCACACAGCCAAGTTTCTAGAAATTAATAAGTACTCAGTAATTCTAGCTCTTATAATTTGTTCTCATTTTGAAAAGTCATTTCTTAAAATGCAAATAATATCCTTGTGACTAATATCATTTCATAGTTCCAGCCACTGAAAGAGGGTCCAGAGTAAAGAGCCGCAGAGTCTCTTGAGCCATGCCTGCGTGTCTTCCCACTTCCTACCATTCCTAGATTATTTCCTTAGTCACTGCAGTGGTAGGAACATTCCCCTAAGAGTTATACAGGTTGAAGGAAATGGAACAAGTTCTATTTATTCTTCTGCTTAGGACGCGGGGAAGGTCAGTGATTATGTTTATCAACATCAACAATGTGTGTGTGCCTCCTGCAGCAATGTGTGTGTGCCTCCTGCGCTCCAGAAAAAGTCAAACACTGACCAGTCACCTTGAATTAATCCTTTTCACTTACAAAGACAGGAGCCATTTACTCAATGGCAAAGTCTCAATCCATGTATAGTTTGTTTGCTTGTTTTTTCATGCTCCGAGTGACACATCCGCCATTATTCTACAGTTGTTCTAAAATATAACTGCTTACTTCTGGAATCATATAAGGGAATATTTTTGGATATATCATGCATATTCTTATAATGTGTTATAAATGCAACTTTCTATATTTTATATGTAAGATACATCTCTATTACATAACCAGATCCATCCTAGAGTTGCTAAAACTTCTCAATTTATTGTCACTGAGTTTCATGGGCTGACTTTGGTCTGGGTGAATTTAAAATGAGAGCCTTCAGTAAGGTGTTCCTACCTGATATTTCCTAGGACCTGAATGAGGCAAGACTCTAAAGTACACCAAGCAAATTAGTTAGGATCTCTCAACTTGATGGACTTTTAAAAATGGAAGTTGGGCAATGAAATTTGCCTTCGATTCTTTTGGTTCTCAGTTCTCCATCCATACATGGGATCTGAGAGTACATGAATATGCACAAATTGTTGTAAAATATTAAACTAAGCAGTGGGTCACCAGTGTTCATCACTTTTGTAAATGGGTCCTTCCAATAAGAGAAGGTTGAGAACAATTTTATATCATTCTTAAAGGGAAGGAAATGTGGTCTTTTAATTTTTATTAAACGATGTTTCATGTATTAAATGAAAATTTAAGTAGCCAAGCTTAGTTGCAGTAAAGGTTAAATACCCTAGTGCGTTAATCTTAGTTTTCTAAGGCAGTCTCTTTTACAAGTTTGTCAGGGGATGCCTGACTGTGTAACAATGCCTCCCTCTGGTGGTCTGACATCATAAATATTGGCTTTTTTTTTTTTTTTTCTTTTAAACTAGATACTCTTTTGTCTTAAGTCCGCCTTTTTCTTTCCTGCCTGCTATGATGAACTAATTGTGGGTACACTATTTTAATTCTTTTAGGTTTACATGGACTGTAAGAACAGGAGTGTGGAAATATCATTAGCCCATTGCACAGGTAAGGGAGGATTCTTGGCTGACATTGAACATGATCCTTCTGCTACTCTATCTTTACATTACTTGTGTTTTCTCGTAGCTTCCTTGATAAAAGCAATGAAGTACTGTGGAAACCCAGACTCAGAGAATCCAGTTTCTTTTGAATCAGTATCTGCCGCTTTAAGTAACATCTATTCAAATAAGGTGAGCCACGCAAGTTGGCATTCAGGAGTTATAAGAAAAATCAGAATGTAGAATCAAGGGCTTTGCATTTTTTTATATTAACCTATTACCCCAGTGATATAGAAAATCTATTATAATTTTCTCCCTCTCAGAGTCCTCTGCTACAGCAAAGGGATGTTTCCATTCCTTACTTGGATCAGTCATGAACATTGTTTAATAATTTGGGTCTTCTAACAATATCACTGTTTAGAGGATTTGGGAATCACCTATGAAGTGCATTCTACTTGCTTGTAAAATAAATGCTTCTTCCAGGATCCATGATCCTGGGAATTTGAATCCACCTCTGTCGAATGCTAATACTTTGGACCTAGCCTTATAGCTTTTTTTCTGCTCCGATACCCTTGCCTCTCAGTTCATATTGCCATCTTTGGAAATATTATTTGCAGAGTCCAGTGCTCCCATGATATGAAGTGTCAAAATTATCTTCCAAATACTGGCCTTTATGGTTAGTTTTAGAACTGTTCCCAAAGCTTTGACATCCTGCAATTTTTCATTAGCTTTGAATCATTTTGCTTTCCGTCATCCCTAGAACAGCATTCGGTGCTTCCCAGAGTCATCCCTATTATATTCAATCAGAACAGTATGTATTTGTAAAATAATAATAATAGCATAATTATTATTATTACTATTATTATACACCTAACATTTATTGAATATTCATTATATTCCAGAAATATCCTAAGAGCTTTACCTGTATTAATTCATTAGATCTGGAACGTAGATACTATTTTTTTTTTAATGTTTTTATTTATTCTTGAGACAGAGACAGAGCTTGAGCAGGGGAGGGGCAGAGAGAGAGGGAGACACAGAATCTAAGGCAAGCTCCAGGCTCTGAGCTGTCAGCACTGAGCCTGACGTGGGGCTCGAACTCACAAACTGTGAGATCATGACCTGAGCTGAAGTTGGACGCCCAACTGACTGAGCCACCCAGGCGTCCCGTAGATACTATTATTTAACCTGTTTTTAGAAATGAGCAAACTTAGGCCTAGGGAAGTGATACCACTTGTAAGTGGGAGAGCTGGTTTCGACGTCAGCAGTCTGACCTTGGACTTGGAGCTTTAAACCTCTGTACTCTGATGTGTGGTAGAATGTCTATCTGCTTAACTTGGCTGGGCAGCTTGCATGAGTTGCTACTTTCTTTGATTGTGGTGGCAATTTAGGAGTCGAACATGTCCTTTTTTCTTCCTCTCCTATTTTAGAATTTGAGCAAACTCAGCGATCACAGTGAAGTCTGAGACCCTGTTGCTACAGTACAGCTCTTGTCTTTAGCAACTGCCCTGAAGTGGCCATACTCTGACATTTTGCACACCCTTTTTTGTTGCTGAGATCCTACAGATGACCTCTACTATAAGTACGATGTGACTTAATAACCGCATAGCCACTGGTCAAGATTCACCAGGAAGTTTCCTTAATCTTTGTTAGTAAGTAGGTTATCGTATAGTTATTTTGTAAAAATTGGTATGCATTTAGTTTTTTCTGTACTGAGAGGCAAATACGAATTTATTTCCTTTGCCACGGTATTTTGTGTTGTTTTATGTCTGTTTTGTTGTAAGTTAACTTGTAAAACTGAGAAATACTTTGTCATAAGAGATTTAGGGCATTTGCAAGCCATTTGTAAAAACCCAGCATCATCTGTAACTAATACATAAAAACAACTTAGCTAATGTGCCATTTTTCCCCTCCAAAAACATAAAAAGGCCATTAAACATCAGTAAGATTAAATGTTTCTTTATACAATATGATATGAAATTCACAGAGATGAAGTCAAACAAAAACAAATGACAATTTTCCATATCTTTCCATTGTTTTCCATATCTTTCCATGAAAGAAAGTCTTCAGCATTATTTTCAAGATAACTCGTATCCCAGTGACCAAGTTCTCGAAATTAGTCCGTTTTACTACGAATATTGGAAATGCTTAGCCCAAATTTCTGCATTCCAACCCCAGAAAGTCTCTGTTTTACCTTAGGTTTTGTTGGAGCCAGAGCATATGGAAGTTGCATATTTTATACTTTTTCACAAATATGATTTTTAGATGAGAAAATAAATACCACCAGTAGAATAGCTTTGTCCTATTCTAATACAATTAATTGTAGTAATTTGGGACTTTACTGTTTCAGAGATACAATCAATATAATACATTTATCTCCTTCTGTCCAGATAGACAGATAGATAGAGAGGTCTCCATAGGATGTTTTTCTTTTGTTAGAGTAGGACTTGGATGTGTGATTATCTGTAAATCTACCAAATCAGCAGGGTAATTGACAAACACCACAGGCCAGGGTGACCTGAATAAATTATCATTTTCATGCTTGTATATATATTTGCAATCACATACAATTACAGAGGTTCATATTTTTATCAGGTGATTTGATACACTTATGAAGAAACTCATTTTCAAAGATAGGTCTAGGTATATAATTATGCTTACATTTGAAAGTGTGGAAACTGTTCTTGAAATTGCCAGTGTAACAAAGAGGCAGGCACTTTAAAGTGCATTCGAAAAGTAGGGTGAAAACAAAATTTAAAGACTGGCCATTTGGGTATTTTTGTGGGCATCTGTATGAAACTTCGACTCCCTGCCAAGTGATGTAATGGTCCCTAACAAATGTGTGGTAAACATTCACATGGCCCTTAATTTTCACATTAAATCATAGGTAGCACAATGCGTTAAAATGAAAGGGAATAATAAATGTTGTGAATCTCATAACTTACCCTACCATTTCAATTTCAGTTTTTTTGGTTGACATGAACTAAAAAGAAAAGTCTTTGTCCCAAAGGAAGCCTCAATCTTTTCATCACTAATTTGGATCAAAATGAGTGAGGCCAACCTTCATTCTCATCAAATATGGTTCCAAGAAAAAGAGGGGGTAAGAATTAGAAGGAAAATGTCCTTAGAGAAAGGAATTTCACTCTGTTTTGTCCATTTAAATTATCCCAATGTTGGATGGTGGCAGCTTTTACCATCCGAAATCCATTGGTGTTGGCATGTAAACATAAGTCAAGGAAAGTTAAGAAAAGAAAAAATATTTTTGCTGTGTCTGAATCAATATTTTGCTCTGTAGCTTTGGCCTATAATTAAATTCATGCACTGCAGGAATTTTATAATTTGTTAGAGATTATGGACCATGGATGCCCTTCAAATCATTATGGTTAATCAATGGGTGGTTTGTTCTATTTTATTGTTAAAGCTGACGCAATACTGTCTGGGTAGGTGTATTTGAATGCATTTCTATGTTTATACTAGAAGTTTAATAGATAAAACTTTAAAGCCAATAACTTGAGTGTCAAATGCTAATATTATTTTTAAAGTTAAGGAAGACCAAACCATACACCCTGTAAAGCTCTTTGTTCTAAGTCTTCTTCTGCATCCCAAGGTCGCAATGACCATTAACATGGAAGAATTCCTTGCAATTGAGTTCTGAGAGCCCAAAGTTGACTTTTAGTTTTATACACACAAGATTCTAAAATATACATATTTATTTCAAAGCAAGCGTTAACAAAGGAACTATAAAATTATCTTGATGCTAGAATGTTTCTAGTTGTGCTAAATTATTTTTATGAGATCACCTTATTTTTATATATGATAAACTACTTCCATATTACTTATTCTGGTAAAATAAAATTCGAAAAAATTAAAACTGACCTATAAGAGTGTTAAGGACCCAATAGAGTGACATATATAAATTAAGCATAAAATATGAAACCAGGAAAAGACCGTTAACATTACATTTATGCAAATTAAATGCCCTTAAATTTTACCATTTATCTTTCATTTTAAAGGTTATTTGCCCCCGATTATATGATTCAAGTGTTATAAGGTCTAGCTTGAACTACTTTGCAATAATTTATTTGACAGCTCTCTATTCTATAAATGCGTAATGTAATGAGGAAAGAGATCTTTCTTTTTTAATGAAAACATTAATGTGTTACTACCCTGTATGGATAATGTTTGACATTTAGTGGTTACCAAAATATATTAGTATGTTGTTGAACATACATATGCCTTAGAAATGCACGTTCTGTATTCTGTGGGAGTTTGTTGCCAGATTTCAAATGAGTTCAGTGGTGCCTTCATAATCCAAAGATTTTTAGTTAAAAATCATGTAGTCTAATATGCTGCACTTATTTTTCTATATTTTTCAATGCATTTAATCATCTCTTTTATAATTCTTTGTACTAACTCAGCATGTAACAACCAATTTACATGGAAATAAATTGAAATATGATAACTATTATGCTTGATTGGATCTGTGTCCATTATTTCCAAGTATTTACTCTCCTGCAAAGCAAATAATACATATTGCTTTCTTAGACTGACCACCATGTGTTGAAAATTCCTGGAAGTATCTATTGTTCTTGGTAATTTGTTCTTATAAAATATCAACGTAGGATTGTAAGATATTATGCTTTAATTTATGGACTGCTAATAAGGGTACTTTTTGCTGCAAGACAACATTTACACGATCCTCTTTGACCAGGTTTACATCTTTTATGTTATAATTTTAATGTGTATATGTATATGTTAATTTTTTTATTTGTTTGGGTTCTTCCTTTATATGCTGTTGTTTGTCTTTCCTGAGTTTCTGGTGTTTTATACTATTTCTAGTATTCTAGCACTCCAAGTTCAGTATTCTTTAGCATTTTATTTTATTTATCTTTTTTCAAGTTTATTTATTTATTTTGAGAGCGAGAGCGAGAACAGGAGGGGCAGAGAGAGAGGGAGAGAGACAGAAAGTCCTAAGCAGGCTTCACAGGGTCCGTGCAGAGTCCGAAATGGGGCTTGAACCCACGAACTGAGGGACGATGACCAGAGCCAAAATCAGGAGTCAGAAGCTTTAACCAACTGAGCCATTCTAGTGCTCCTAGTATTCCTTAGCATTTTATTTATTTTTTTTTTTAATTTTTTTATTTATTTATTTATTTATTTTTCAACATTTATTTATTTTTGGGACAGAGAGAGACAGAGCATGAACGGGGGAGGGGCAGAGAGAGAGGGAGACACAGAATCGGAAACAGGCTCCAGGCTCCGAGCCATCAGCCCAGAGCCTGACGCGGGGCTCGAACTCATGGACCGCGAGATCGTGACCTGGCTGAAGTCGGACGCTTAACCGACTGCGCCACCCAGGTGCCCCTCCTTAGCATTTTAAAGGTTACTGCTCCAAAGACAAGAAGAGAAGGCATGCTTCTAGGTATTGAAGACACAGCAGTGAATAAAACAACAAAGAAATCCCTGTCCTCATGGAACTTACATTCTAACAAGGGAAAACAGGAAGTAAATGGATAAACTTAAAATACACTTATTGTAAGTTTGATGATAATATGTGCTAATAATTAGAATGCAGCAAGGAAAGAGGATAGGAAGTATGGCAGAAAGTGGGTGCTGTGTCCTTAGGGTGGCAGGAACAGTGACTAATGGGAGTGTATTAGTCCTGCCGGGCTTAACATATAGGCGTTTATCTCTTAAATTTCTGTAGGCTGAGAAGATAAGGATCAAGGTGCCAGTTTCTTTTTGAGAGCTCTTTTATTGGCTTGCAAATGGCCACTTTCTTGCTCACAAGGTGGAGAGAGAGCATGCTCTCTGGTATCTTTTTTTTATAAGGACAGTAATCCTATAAGCTTAGGACCTCACCTTTATGCTTTATGACCTCATTTAACTGTTATTACCTCCTTATAGTCCCTATCTCCAAATACCATATCTCACATTGGGGGCTAGGGCTTTAACATACGAATTTTGGGGAGGGGACACAATTCATACCATAGCAGGAAGTTACATATTTCTTGTACATTTAAAATTTTCCTTTTTTATGTCTGAGAAACAGGCTTAGTAGAATTTTGTGTTTAATATAATGTAATGTTTTTGCATCAAAAACATGATAATCATGAACAAAGAATTCCAGTACTAGAGACAGTAGGTCAGCATAGACATTACTAACAATATTTGGCTACTTAGATAAGGTTCTGAGTGAAGTGGTCAGAAATGGGTTTGCAATGTACCAGTGGCTATTCAGAAGTTGAGCCATATATTTTGATGATGGATCCTAATGACTAGCCATCTAGTTATAGAAGACAGAATTGAATTACTTAATTTTCCTTTAGCTATCATATTGCTTTAAAGAAAATTCAGAGACATGCGTGATCCTACCAGTTGTCACAGAGACTGGCACAGAGCAGTTCAGATGCTAACTTCAGTGAGAGGGCTCCATTTTGGTTTTTTGGTTTTTTTTGTTTTGTTT